AATGAGTGTTAAATTGGTTCGATCAAGAGAGAGTTTTAATTTAATTGTTGGGTCGAACGATGTAAAGTTTAAAGTTTGCATTACGGACGCAACTCTTATTGTTCGACGAGCACGAATTAATCCAAGTGTATTACTCGCACATCAAAAAGTTTTAGCTTCTACCACTGCTAAATATCCTATTACTCGAGCTGAAGTAAAAGTTTTAACAATTCCTTCGGGTGTTCAAGGAAAAACTCTTGATAATATATTTTTAGGACAGGTACCGAAAAGATGTATAATTGGATTTGTGAACAATTCTGCATTTAATGGTTCCCTTACTAAAAATCCATTTAACTTTGAAAACTATGGTATTAATTCTTTCAGCTTATATATTGATGGTCAACAAATACCTTCAAAAGCTTTGCAACCATCTTTTAATAATAGCATATTTACATCAGCATATCATACTCTATTCTCGGGAACTGGTATTCACTTTCTTAATGAAGGAAATGGAATCTCTTGTGAACAGTATGGCAAAGGTTACTGTCTATTAGCATTTGACTTAACTCCTGATTTATCAGCTAACTCATCAACTCATTGGAATCTCATAAAGCATGGTAGTGTAAGAATAGAAGTACGATTTGAATCCTCATTAATACAAACAATTAACTGTATAGTTTATGCTGAGTTTGATAATATTATTGAGATAGATAAAAACAGAAATGTTACTGTAGACTATATTAGTTAAGGTTATAATATGTGTTGTGTGTTAGATTTTATGTGTTATGTGTAATGCATTTTGTGTGTATGTAACTATGTGAAACGTTATAAAATTAAATAAAACAAATTGTATGCAATATATTTTTTTTTATTTCTTTATAAATCTTCTATTTAATCTAATACAAAACACTGTTCGAGTTGAAATTTTACATAAGCACACTGACTAAACCACTGAACATGCTGCTGCCAAGGATCATCATCATCTTCCCAATCTTTTAAACCACCACCACAATGGAAACACTTGGTCCCGTCTGCATGGCCAGTATAAAAGAAACCAGCTTCTGCAAGATCTTCAGGTTTCTGTCGCATAACTAGAGGCCAGTTTTCGAAACTAAGCAAACGGCTAGATTTTGAACTGAAGAATGGATATTCAGCTCTTGAGTACTGCATACTCTTCTCGTTTTCTTCTCCACTCAGTGTTGTAGTTTTGTTATTCAATGATGTGTTTTGTACACGTATGCCACACTCATCTCTTCCTTCCGCTCTTGTCTTCCTGTAATTGAAGTAAACAGAATCACATTCACTAATGATCAGCTAATGACTGTCATTGTTCAAAAAGTATTTTTTAACTTTTTCACTTTCTGCTATTGTCTTTGTTATATTGTATACGAGGGCGTTTGTGTTGTCGTAGATGCTATCCTTATTAGTCTTTACGTAATATTTAATTCTAGTGGAAGCATGTTTCCAATGATCAGTAGTTGGAATCTTGGATAGCTTCTTCATATCGTACATTTCAATTTTGATGAGATGCGTCGCTTGGTCTCCGTCGTCAGAATTAGTAGAAATGTATGATACACCATCTCTAGCGGCTCGTGCTACGGTTGATGATAACAGCTTCCTCTTTTTTATTTTTGATTCAGCTTCAAAAAAATGATCAATCGATTGCGATTTTCTTTTTCCACCATCGCATGTGTTATTATTAATGACGAGGTTATCACTCTCTTCTTGAGGGGAGAGTGGCGAGTAGTAATACTGTTTATAGGTATCTTCATCGAAGCTCAATGATTTCTGCAACAACACAGTTATCATGTTAATATCAATTTGTTAACACTTAATCATAAAAGTTAAAAAAGTTAAAGTTACAGCCTATTAAAGTCCACTGCTGAACATAGGCCTCCTCTCATTTCTGAGAGGGTTTTAGAGCAAGGAAATGTCCGCCGCGCTCCCTCAATGTGTGTTGGCGAACTTCACATGCCTTCGAAATTTTCTCAGACATGCAGGTTTCCTCACGATGTTTTCCTTCACCACCAAGCACGTGGTAATAAGCACTTAAAATTGCTATTAACAATTTAATTGGTGCTGGCGGGGATCGAACCCGGGTCGCGTACTGTGAAATTTACAGCTAGCGCTAACCATCTGAGTTACCACGGCTTAATCATATACATACACAATATTTAAATAAAATAATACACACACATGAAAATAACAGAAAAAAAGTAATTTAGTCAATAGAATAAACACTTACATCCATAGCCTTTGGTGTATTGAAGTAACACAAAATGTACTATTGATAGATCCACTGTAGCCAAACGACCGTACACTAACTCGATGACTGCGTTTGTTGGTCTTATATACCACCAGTACGTAAAAATTCTAATCTAAAGTATTTCCGTAATGAGTTGATAATTACTTTATGCGTCAACCAGTTTATCTCACATTTCCGTTGCCTATCTCAACATTTCTTCGTATTGTGTTTTGTTTGGTGATCAATGACTCAAGTACGATTTGTATAACACAAAAATGCAATTTAATATTTAGAAACATATCAGTTTATCTCACATTTCCGTTGCCTATCTCAACATTTCTTCGTATTGTGTTTTGTTTGGTGATCAATGACTCAAGTACGATTTGTATAACACAAAAATGCAATTTAATATGTAGAAATCACTATAATTGACCATTCCTATGTTATTCATTGAGTAGCTAGGTACTGTAATAATCTACTAATAGCAGTAATATCATGGATACACTAGATGTACAACAACATCTGAAAAAGATTCACCCCAGTCTAGAAAATAATGTTTATGCAGCTAATAGACTGCCTATGTATACCCACGTACCAACGTATATAATATGTAATTTGGATACAGATGATAAACCAGGGTCACATTGGGTAGCTTTATATATCGATACGAATGACGTCGGTCAATATTTTGATTCATATGGACGATCACCTGTACGATATCATCTAGAGTTTTTAAAAAGGAATTGTAAAAGATGGAACTGGAATGTTGATAGGATTCAGAATGAGTGGACTTCAGTTTGTGGCGAATATTGCTTAATGTATTTGCTATATAAGTTTCAAGGATGTTCAATACATAGTTTTACGAGTATATTTACAAGGAACACATTGTACAACGATATTTTAGTGGATGAGATGTTTCGCTCCTATTTTATAGATAATAATTAATAAGATTTTGTATTTTATAAATAAAAATTGTAACAAAATTATGTAATGTGTTTTATTGATGATTCAGATTAGCGTTGTATAAACAAAGAACTATAACACAATAGCACTGATATAGTCGACGCACACGCTGCAATGAAGGTGATTAATGAACAATAGAACAATAGAAATAGGAACAATGGGACGCTAATGACGGGTGGAGGCCCTTACCGGATATCAATTAGATATTAGCTAATTGATCTACACATCTCCGGAACCGTGCATTCTACACAAAAATGGACCGCGGATTCGTGATCAGAGCATGCCAAAACTTTTTTTTTTTTTTTTTTTTTTTAGGATCGGGCGTCGACGAACGTCGTTGAACCACGTCTGACTCAGGTGGTCTAGAAGTGGTACAACTACACTACTGGTACCAAAGACTATATATATTAAAGAAAGAAACATTTATTGCAAACATAATATATACATATATGTTGGGGACGCGCCTAAAAAAATATTTCATTCGCTTAATTCCTGCAAAAAAGTAATCCTCAAAAGTTGACGATGTAAAGATTGCTATTTAATTGTGACAGGCACTTCATAAGAAATAATCTATATTAGAAGTGAATAAATTCGACACAACGTCGAACGATAGTTCGGGGTTCGACTCCCCGGTCGAGCATTATTTTCTCTTTCGTTTTTTGAATTAATTTAGTCATGTATTACATAGTAATCGGCTCTGTAATGCGAATGTAAGTTTTTGTATTAAATAGATACTTGTGTAGTATAGAATATATTTAGCACTTTAGATTTATTTAGTTTTTTGTGATATCAGATAAGAAACATTATGACTGATAAGGATAATAATGTATGTAAACCTTGATGTTTCATAATGAACATAGATAGATTGCTGCTGATGTCCGGTCTATTACTACTTCTACTTAAATGTCTTTGCATTTAATGTTGTCGGAAAAGCAGAGTTAACAATAAATTGTATAATTGTATATAATAAACTCCTTAAACTCCTTTCTTTCTATTAATTATGTAACTCTGTTCTATTAAATCAAATTTGGCTATTTTTATATTATAATGTAAATCGAAGTGTTATGATTGCATAGGAAGAGCAAGGCACTCCCAACACAAGTATCTTAGGATTACTTTCTGGGAGGCCTTGGCAAATCAATTGTAAAAAAGATTTACTGAAATAAAACATTTTTATTATTATTATTTATAATTGCTAGGGTTATCACAACGGAAAGTAATAAAAAACTCATTTTATTTTATTTCACGTTTAAACAAATTAATGTGTATGAGGAAACTGATGAAACCAATTCTTTATCTTTAAATGAAGACGACCCACAGTTTTTTACCGCACATGTAGTGTAAACCATTTTAATGTATTTGCGTGACAGTACAATCCTAGCGAAACAGTGCTCAGCCCGTGTCTCGCCACGCACCGCACCGCCCTACTGCCCCGTCTAGACACAACTTAGATGACAGACTGTTTTTTTCTTGATTCTGTAAGTACGAATGAGTCGGCTCGATGGATAGGACTACGCTGTCACAGAATACCAATGTAAAACAGTTATATAACAAACATAATGTTTCGTATGCTGAGTATAGAGAACCGGAGGCCCTTTCTAGTGGAAACGAGGCATTCCATCTTAGTCCTCACGGGTGACAACGCATCTGCATTTTGATTTTTTATCGAGGTTAGGTGTGGATGTCCATGGGCCAAAGCATCCACTTACCATCGTGCGGACTGTGCTCGTTCGTCACCTTTATTCTATAAAAAAAAAAATCTAATCGCTACTTTCCGAACATTTTCCCAAAACATCAAATAAAAAACAGGATAAAGTTAAAAAATTTAATTTATTAAAATTTCACGCATTTTAACTTCGCCGTTTGCTTGAAAAATACTTCATAATTTAACATAGGTACTTTGATTTATTTAATTTCATATACAACTTCGTACACTGTGCGGCATACATTCATAACTGAAACAGATAAAATAATAAATATCAAATATTAGTTTTAAAAAAGAAAACTAAATAATTGGGTATGTAGTTGACACTATACAACATATCATATAGTAAAAAAAAATAAAGAAGTACGTTCATTTGGCACATACATTACAACAAAGGAAAAAATTGGTAACACAGAGAAAAAAATATAGTGCCACCGGAGTTTTGGCGGGAAATTGACCGGCGGCGGTTTGCTGCTCCTGTATTATTGTTTAAATAATGGTTTGAAGTGGACTTTGATATGTAAAAGTGTTGCGATTTTGTGTATTAAGTGTCTACGCATGTGAACTATTAGTGGAAACAGTGAAACAAGTGCTCTGATGGTGATGGATTCTCAAGATAAGCTGTTTGTTTGCATAGGCACCTTTAGATACCATCGCCAACTATCAGCTGTCTGCTGGATCAAGTTGCCGCCAAAATCTCCCAAGAACTGCACAATGTGACGCATCAACATATTGTGAAGCAGTATACTATGAAGGAGTGGGGAAATTACAATAAACCGAATAAAAATACTTAAGACTTGGCCTAAAGGTCTAGATACCAGGCCATAAACTCCAAAAAAAAAATATATAGTGCCACCAACTGATCTGTTCAGGTGGACAAAATTGGAACTAAAGCTGCCATTTTGTTAATGACACCGTCAGTTACTTTTTATTCTGAGCTATCATGTTTTTAAAAAGTGTAAATAAAATGCCTAAAGCTATTAAAAGATGCGCGACAGATTATCCTAAAAGTTTAATCTTTTATGAAAGAAGAAAAACGTGTACAAGCCCCAACTATACCATTTGAAAAGCTGTACGAACGCGTTGCTGCCGCGACAGGTTAGTATTGCCAGATATGGAAAATTAAAATCACCAAATAATGTACTTATGAAACATAGTAAAAAAATGATCTCAATTTACTGTAATTCATTTAAAGTACCTAGCTTTGTAGTTTGTAGTCTGTGAAGTAGCTTTAGTGACGGCATATTCACGGGCTTATATTTATTTAATTTTACCTATACAATAATAATATATAATAAATATATTATAAAAAAGAAAAATATATATAATAACACTAATAATTCTCACTAATGTTAATATATTAACACGAAATTTGTTTTATTTTATATTATGTGTAATGAATATGTAGTTACCTATTTCCTCGGTGAATTTCTTAAATGGCAATAGTAACCACTCAACTAACGACTCTGTCAACTGAATAGATAAGTTGGTGGCACTATACTTTTCTTAATGATATCCACGACTTTTATGCCACTAAAGCGGCGCCACTTAGGAACGAGGTAAAATATTCGACAAATTACATGACGGGGAAGTTAATTTGACAGGAAAATGTAAAATGTAATGTTTCTTTTTGTGATATTAATTATATTTTATATTAATTATATTAAAAATGAATTAACCAAACTACGGATAATCCTAAATGTAGAACAATTAATAATAATTATAACTTTATTATTATAACTACACTTAATTATTATAACTTTTAACAAAAAGTAAAAATCGACTTCAAATTGCTACAAAAAATGTTATTGGAACGAAGTTCCTTATCGTACGGTACGAATTTGGCGGATGGGGGCTAGGCGAGGAAAAGTGTAAGACTTTTCCGTCACTACCCCTTCTGACGTAGTGTGGACGGTCTTGACGGCTATAAGGAAGCGAATTAGAATAATATCTATCTCCCTCGCACTTTTTGTTATCTTGCCATGAAAGAAATATTATTTTATTTTAAATGACACTTCATCTATACATCTACATCTATACATAAATGACACTTCATCTATCATCTAAGCCCTACTGTACAAACACTTCATCAGTGTTTGTACAGTAGGGCTACGATGGCTATCCGAGTACAGAACCAGAGTACGAAACCTCTCCAACTGTAGAGAGCTGTAAGACGGTGACGTTATATCCCCGAAACTTCACCGCTGCATTGGAAGACTTTTTCAAACTGACTGGAAAGAATACAGTATCAACGTCAATGGCGAGTACATCACTCACCTTCGATTTGCCGACGATATAGTCCTTATGGCAGAATCGCTGGAGGACCTAAGCACTATGCTCAATGACCTCAATAGTGTCTCCCAAAGGATAGGTCTTAAGATGAACATGGACAAAACAAAAATCATGTTTAACATCCATTTCACACCTGTGCCGGTAGTTGTTGGGAGCATTAAGCTCGAAGTTGTTGACGAATGTTTACCTGCGACAAATAGTCCGACTAGGTAAGTACAACTTCCACCGAGAGGTTAATCGACGGCTTCAACTCGGCTGGGGCAGCGTTCGGGAGATAACGACATATCTTCTCATTAGAAATACCACAGAACCTCAAAACTAGATTGTTCAACCAGTGCGTGTTGCCAGTGATGACCTATGGATCTGACGTGGTCCTTCAATGCTGGCCGTATGAGGAAGCTCAAAGTTGCTCAGCGAGCTATGGAAAGGGCAATACTCGGCGTTTGTCTGCGTGATATACTTAAAAACGAGGATATCCGCAGTAGAACCAGAGTTACCAAAATCGCCTAAAGAATTAGTATGCTGAAGTGGCAGTGGGCCGGCCATATAGCTCGAAGAACCGACAACCGATGGAGAAGAAAGGTTCTCGAGTGGCAGCCTCGTACCGGCAGGCAAAGTGTAGGGCGTCCCCCCTCTAGAAGAAGTGACGACCCGGTAAGACATGCAGAAAGTCGATGGATGCAGGTGGCACAGGACCGTGCTTTATGGCATTCCTTGGAAGAGGCCTATGTTGAGCAGTAGACTTGTGAAGGGCTGTAACGATGATGATGACACTTCATCTTAATGGACGCCAGTAATTCATTTATTTGTATTGTTGTTAATCAATAACATAATACGTTTATCAATAATAATATACTACGAAAGGAACTTCGTTCCAACTGAGTGTTCCACGACCCTCACAGATGTTTTTTTCATTTGCTACTCTTAGGGTTGGAATTTTTTCTCCATATTTATATGGAACCACCCTTGAAATATAACCTATTTAATAAAAAAAGAATCATTTTAGGATTTTTAGGGCTACAGGCAGTCTACTGAGAACAAAAAGAAAATAAAGTGCAGCCATATTGGAAATATTCAAATGCCACACGAGAAGCACCAGCTTTCAAATTAAAAAAATGAATCACCAAAATCGGTTCACTTAGGAAAAAGTTATGAGGTAACACACATAAAAAAGCACAGTCGAATTGAGTACCTCCTCCTTTTTGATGGCGGTTAAAAATAGGATTTCGGAAAAATTCAAGCCCTCAGAGGGTGAAATAAAGTGTTACAGTTACAGTTGGTTACCACTTTTTGAAGTGACAATTTCTTTATCTTTAGACTTAAACATATACATTTATAGGATGAGATAGATTTTTTTTAATTAAACTGAATTCAAAATAATAGCTCCTTAAATGCTCCAGTACAATCCGTAATTACTCAATTACGAAACAGCAATTACGAATTCTACTGAAGCATTTAAGGAGCAATTAATTGGCATACAGTTTAATTTAAAAAAGTAGATATTTTATGTTTTATAGCAAAATTAAATGTTCGGTAATTAAATTAAAAAAAAAATATTATAAATTAACTAATAGCAATAGACTTGGAGCAATTACGGATTCTAAAGGAGCATTTAAGGAACAATTAATTTATAAAAGTAGATATGTTATGTTTTATAGCAAAATTTAATTTTCGATAATTAAATTTTTAAATAATTAATTATAAATTAGCTAATAGGAATAGACGTGGAGCAATTACGGATTCTACTGGAACATTTAAGAAGCAAATAATTCCTATACAGTTAAAAATTCTACACTAACTTCCTTCTGGCCTCTACATGTCTAAAATAAAGATTGCAACATTTATTAGCTATCTTTATACGCGGTTGAGCCATGCTGCGCTATATTAGTAGTATAGTTGTAGCACGAATGGGTCGGCTCGACCGTAGAAGGACCACGCTCTAACAGAATACCAGCGTAAAATAGCAGCTTAACACTACTGTGTTTCGTATGGTGAGTGTAGAGAACCGGAGACCCTTTTTACTGGAAAAGAGGCATTCCGAGATTCGGAAATGAGGATAGATGTAGATGTCTATGGTCCACAGCAACCACTTACCATTAAGTGGACTGTGTGCTCGTTTGTCACCCTATCCCATAAAAAAAATCAAAACTTAACAATTCGGTCCAACCGGCCCATTCGTTCTACAAACATAATTTAGCTGCAGCATGGCTCTACCGAATATAAAGATTCCTAATAATAATTTCAATTACACTGCTGGATGCCTATTGTATATGTAGAAAGGATAATTGAGTATAGTACAGAGACTAATTTTGTAGTTAGGAATAATAATTAATTCGTTTTATCCAACGAGTCAAGGATAAACTAGTAACGGAATACGACAAGCGCACCGTTCCACGTCAGAACCAAGACTCTCCTAACGGCGGCCGCTCCGTCCGTTTTATACAAGCAAAACGGGCGCCATCGCAGGTGCAATAGTGCAGGTGTGCAGAGCACGTGTTATTTACAAGAATTCTGTCTAGCTACACCGACGTCGCCGCACATGCAATGGTGCACGTGCCGTCATATATATTCAATAAAATTTAGGCTATAAGAGAGACGTAAGCACTGAAATCAAGCAGTAAAATGACCAACTTGGTCTTATTTAAACTAATGTTAACTGAAGTTAAGAATCTAGTTCAGAACAATCAATGGGTAAGAACTGACAATCACGGTGATGGGTGACCCCCCACTAGGTAGAGGGACATTGAAACATTCTATCAATTGATGCATGTAGGTGGCTAAGGCATATGTTCAGCAGTGGATGCTTGTAATGGGCGGTGATGATGTGAAGGTGAAGATTAAGAATTTGAAAAAGGAAACAGTTTCTCACCTCACTCCACTGCAGACACGTCCAAATTAACGTTAACATAACTGGCCCCCATGTTTTCTTTATGGCGAGGAGACATCACATGCTTCTTTGCGTTCTCACCCTCCTCTAAATCAGAGTCACACACTCCACATTTCAACTTCCCAAAGTCATAATATACATATTTGTTCTTTGCCAGCATATTTATATTGTGTTTAAGTTCCAAGTAGAAACGGAAAACGTTTTCAGATGTGGGTTTCTGAACGAAATGCTCCGCATATACCAAATGCATCAGCAAGGACCTGATTGAGTTGAACACATTCTTGCATGGTTCACATGTGAATGATGCGCCCTCACTATGCAGGATATAGTTCCCATGCATATACACATTAATTATGTCCCCCTTGTTGGATTTAATCTTTGCGTCACCTACAGCAGTTTGATGCTCAACACTGGACAGGATATGCTTGATGGCTTCGTTCATATTCTTGAAGGAGATGTCACAGTATTCGCATTTCAAGGTTTCCCCCGACACAATCTTGTTCATTAACAATAGACCTTCATCCACATCTGGATACAACGCTGATCGGATCAACTTGGCTATGGTCTCCACGTGCAAATTGCTTTCAAAGTGCTCAGTAATAGCAGCGAACGATGGCAAGGCAACATACTCCGGACAGATTGTACATATGTAGTGGTTGCCGAAACTGGCGAAGTATTCGGTGGGTCGACAATGGTTCTTGTAGAGCATGGTCAGCTTATGTGGAGCGGCGTTCCGTAAATGCTTCTTCTGGCGAATATGGTTGAACAGAACCTGCCTCGGACCCTTCAGGGTCATGTCACAGCAGGAACAGTAGTTGGCGATCTTCCCCGACGGTCTGATAAAGTTCTCTATGACTACATGATCGCGACTGTTGAGCGGTTTGCCCACAGTGGCTAGGAACTTAGTCCAGTCGAGCGATTTAGGTCCCCACTCGTCTGGGACCGCACCGTCCGGATTGTTAGCTTTCATTTTTCGATAGAATTTATCGGACAGCTTCCCAAGGTGATTCTCATCTAGGATGTGCATAATCGTTGTTTCAGTATCGAGGGATGTCTTGCAAAGGCCACAGTTTAAACCGTTGCCGTCCTGTGTGACGTAATGGCTGCGAAGGAAATCTCTGTTCATCTCTTTAATCTTGTCCATGGTTGCGGCACCCATCGAGAAGGGTATGTTCTTGTCTGCCTGCAAGATACATGTGAGGTTGTGGATATGTGTTTCACTAAAAACATGATTTAAAACACTATCGTAGCGAAACCTCAATGTGTAGTATTCACACGCCATACAGAAGAAAGCCAACTTTCCTGTTCGATCATCAACCAACGTCAGCAATTTATGATTCAGGAGTAATTTAGCAATGATATTCTCTATCGGGCCATAATATCGATATTTCTTTATCTGATTCTTCGCTGGCTTCTCTGGAGCCTGGTCATTTTCTTCGTTGTCAAAGTTCTTATTTGCGTCCACAGCGAAATTCTGATTCACATTGTCCCTGATGCTCATGATGATTGGTGCTACGGAGCTCGTTAGCGTCGAGAAGTCGATTAGGGAAATATCCTTGCACAGTTTATCAAAAGCCTCCTGATAGAACTTTATCGCTGCATCAATACTGCCTTCGGAGTTATCGGGCAATACTCTGATTAATGTCGCTTCTAATATAGCTGAGAAAGAGCGTTCCAACTTCTCCATGGGCTTCATCATTTGCATTATTTGTTCCGTGTTTTGGTTGTCGCCACCCTCCAATGCTGAAAGTCGTCGCGACATCTTGGGAAGTAAGATAGGTTCAGCTACATCGATGCTCTCGCGTTTCAGTTTCGGTAAATGCGCTTCTAAATTAAAATGCTTCTGCAAAGATTCCATGAGCGGTATGTCATCGCATAGCTCTATTTCTACATCGCAGTCCGTACAGATATGCACTTGTTTTGCGTTGTCAATAGTTAGAAATTCAGTTTTCAAAATCTCAGGCACTTCACTGACTGGAAGACTGTTAAATCGTTGCCTCTGCAAGCTACTCTTTTTCTCCGTTGTAAATATATACTCGACCTCTATACCCTCGCGTTTCTTCAAGAAAATTCTCTTATGCATCTCATCTAAATTCTTCAAATAACGAAGCACCACGGGATTCCCTTGAGTCAACGGATGGTTAATAATATACTGGAAGTGTTTGGCTAACTTTTTAACCTCATCCAACTTCCGGAACGATAGAACCGTCAGCTCGGACATATCCTTAGTTATATCCTCTATGGATTTGTCCATATCGTTCATATTTCTCAATAAAAACAGTTTAATAAAATATTTATATCTTTACACTGATTTATAGTGACCTGTCTTGGTCCAAGCCAAGATTATCAAGTCTATTTTGCCAAGCTTCTCTGAGCTTCTATGGCTAATTTAAGCGGTCTGGTGTAATTTTTTATGTGCCCGTACTTTTACGCCAAATGCTTTATCAATTTGTGCGTGAGGTGTTCTTTTTGGAAACCGGAAATGGTAGATAGTGAAATTTTGTACTTGAAATGACTGTTGATTGATGATTATTGCCGCATTTCAAGATCTGAAATGAGAAACAAACAGTTATAATATTTGCTTACTTTTTTTATAGGATAGTTGTGACAAGCTAGCACACAGTCCACCTGATGGTAAGTTGTTGCTGTGGCCCATAGACATCTACATCTATCCTCGCCTGCGAGACAAAATGCATATCTGTTGTCACCCGTGAGGACTAAGATGGAATGCCTCTTTTCCAGTAAAATGGGTATCCAGTTCTCTACGCTCACCATACGAAACACAGCAGCATTAAGCTGCTATTTACCCTGGTATTCTGTGAGTGTGGTGCTTCCCGGGTCGAGCCGACCCAAACTCTACAATTAATATAGGTACAGCATGGCTCTACCCTGTTGACACCATATTTATTTATATATATCTTTACTTAGTATTGACCAAGTCCAGACATTTTGAATAATACCCAATACGAGTTGGCAATATGATAAAAACTACTAAAATAATTAAATTGACAGGGCTTTATGAATCCGATGCTTATTTGACAGAGTAATAAAAACATAGGTGAGGTTAGGTTATGAACAGACAATGTGATAAATAATGAAGTTCAATCTAGTTTTTTTTTATAGGAGAGGGGACAAACGAGCATGCGGCTCACCTAATGGTAAGTGACTACCGCCGCCCATGAACAACTGCAACACCAGGGGAACCAGGGGAATTGCAGATGCGTTGCTGGCCTTTTAAAAAGGAGTAGGCTCTTTTCTTGAAGTATAAATTATTCATGTTCCTGAGCATTATAAATAGTGTCCTGATATCACTTGATCCATAACATATACAAGGCCTAAATGAAAAGCATTAAAAATTGCTAATGTAATACCATTTGGTGTTCCCTCTCAGTGAAGCTGGGGTATGACAAAATATTACTATTGGTAATAACAATACTTATTAGATCAAAAGTGGGGTCAAGTTGATACGGATAGAAACCACAACTTCCTGTTATGGACATTATCATTCTGTATATTTTATTCAATTTTCACATGATTTATATATAAAACGAATTTTTTTGAAATGTATATTAAAGTAAACACAAGTTTTACTGTAAATGATTAGTTGGTGTTGTTAACAATTTGTTTATTATTTAAATTATATAATAATTTATTTACATAACAGTCAAATAGCAGAGCAGTTTCAGAATAAGTAATATAGGCATATGGTGAAGAAAAGTTAATCAAAAAAATCTTAATCATTCTGTACTTTTTATTTTTTAAATTCAAAATGCCTGGTAATGCATTATTTTAACTGTGCACGCACACATTCGTAAGTGGCGCACGCACACATTCGTAAGTGGCGATCGGTAGGTAAAAACGTTGTAGAATAGAATAATTTTTTATTCAATATAGATCACATGTGTAATTCTTATTGAAAGTCATTTTTTACTTTACCACTGGTTCGAAAAAAAACCCTCTGTCCTGGGAAGAACCAGCAAGAAACCCAGCGGGACTTTTTTTTTAAAGCAAATTTTACAATAATGGTTGTACAAACTATATAAGTACAAAATTTATTTTAGAAACAGCTTGGAAGCGATCACCTCATTCCCAGGGGTTATTATCAACCATGTATTCATTTATACTATAATAACCCTTTTTATACAGTTTCAACTTAACAAAACATTTAAACTTGCTAATAGAGAGAGCCTGTACACTTTCCGGGACCTTGTTGTAATAGCGTATACATTGCCCCAAGAATGAATTACTGACTATGTGGAGTCGAGAAACTAGTATCACTAGCTTATGTTTGTTCCTAGTGTTTACAGAATGCACATCACTTTTTTTACTAAAACTACCTTTGTTTTTGTGAACATACATTAAATATTCGTAAATATACTGAGAGGCCAAAGTTAATATATTTATTTCTTTAAATTTAGCTCTAAGAGACTCTCGGTTTTAGGTTGTAAATAGCTCTAATAGCGCTCTTCTGTAAAACAAAAATAGTTTCTGAATCTGCCGCATTTCCCCATAGCAAAATCCCATAAGACATTATGCTATGGAAATAACTGAAATAAACTAATCTAGCTGTCTCGACACTAGTGAGACCTCTAATCTTTTTTACAGCATAGGCTGCAGAACTTAGTCTGCTTGCTAGTTTTGATATATTGGGGCCCCACTGAAGCTTTGCGTCGAGAGTGATGCCAAGAAAAACAGTGGATTCAACAGGGCTCAAGGGGGTTCTTCCCCATTTAAAAACACATTGGTACTCAGATTTTTAACATTCGTTGCTGTAAATTTAATACATTTAGTTTTATTTCAGTTTAATTGTAGATTATTAATGTTAAACCAATGCACTAATTTTGATATAGCATTATTCACTTCGTCACATTTAAATGATTGACGTTTTAAGTTTAAAAATCAAGGAAGTATCATCAGCAAATAATACTATATCATGATTATCCTCTACAAGAGAAGGTAAGTCATTAATATACACTAGAAATAGGAATGGGCCGAGAATCGAGCCCTGAGGGACACCCATTAGTACAGGTGAGCCGGAAGAACTTTTACCATTGATAATAACTTTCTGCATTCTATTACTTAAATATGAAATAATAAGTTTAAGTGATGTGTTCTTGACATCATAGTACTGTAGCTTCCTGATTAATCTCATGGTGAACGCAGTCGAAGGCCTTGGAAAAAAATATGTTTAATAAGCTCAACTCCAGCGTCAGTTGTCGAGCGACCCCTTCTAAAACCGAATTGATTTCTATGTAGCAATTTATTAATATTAAAGAAACTTAACATCTGATCTAAAATTATTTTTTCAAAAATTTTACTAAATGTTGGTAGTACAGAAATTGGTCTAAAATTGTTGCCCATGAATAACATTCAATTTGGAATAATTTCAAATAAAAGTAGGAGCCTTATTTACTACTCATATTTTCAAAAACTTCAATAACGGTTCATCATTATTTATATATTTGAACTTAAGTTTAAAATTTGACTACTCTTCTTCTTCTTTACTTTTTGGCTTCTCCTGAAAGAATTCTGCAAATGTCAAGTTAAATATGGGAGTGACAACAAGGTAAATAAAATATTTTTTTTTATTTTTTTTCATTTTGTGATTTGCTTCTAATTTACAACAAAAGACAACACAAACATTAAACAAAACAAAACTATCATGAAAATGAGGTAATAATAATGTATGAATAAGGATGTACTTGATAATAGTCTAATACAGTTATTTAAAGTTACAGCATATAAGTGTCCCACTACTGGGCAAGGACCTCCCATTTTTGAGAGGGTTTTAGGACAAGGAAGTGTCCACCGCGCTGCCCCAATTCGTGTTGGCAAATTTCACATGTCTTCAAAATATTTTTCTTATTTTTCAGACATGCTGGTTTCCTCACTATATTTTCCTTCACCACATATTAGTGGTAAATCAGCACTTAAAATTACAATTAACAATTTCATTGATGCACATGGGGATCGAATCTGGATTGCTCACGTACTTTGAAACTTAAAGAGCTAACCATCTGAGCTACCACAACTCTCACATCTGTTTAATTATATTTTTTATTACTACACAGCAAGCTGACCTGCATATAGAACTATATTAAATGACAAAATTATTTTGCTCGAATGGAATAGAATCGTTTTTTTTTTCAATATAGATTATATGTAATACTTATCGAGTCATTTTTTACTTTTACCACTAGTTCGGAAAATAGCTGTGCTGGAAAGAACCAGCAAGAAACCAAGCGGGCTTTTGTTTAAATAGCATAGTAGCAATCACCTCATTCCCAGTGGTTATTATCAATCATGTACAAAGATCCTTAATTACCCATTTAATATTTATTTACATAATGTTAAAACACACAATGTTTATTTATTATATAGTAAACTTATGGTATAGTACAAAGAACACTAAATGTGTTTCCTCACAGAATAGCTATAATTAACTTTTGAGCAAGAAAAGGACCAGTCCTCTTATCACCATTACCTGTTTAATTAAATAAACCATTAACAAGTAGTCGAGTCAATTTAAAAACAAGATAATTAAATGAACAGTATAGTATTACAGCATTTTTATACCGATAACGAAAAATAGGTTACCTATAGAAACAGATTCACGGTTGGGCTTAATAAATATTTTATTAGTGAACAATAAATTTCAAAACACCATTAATTATAAAACGCAAATAATTTTAGTTAAATTTAATTAATATTATATTGACTTAATTACCTCCTTAAAATTAAAGTTAATTGCAAGACAAAAAATAAATATCAACAAAACATCTTGAATACAGCCTGAGTCATAATAGAGATTCATATACCTAAATAACTTCAAAGTAGGTGAAACAAAAGGAAACTTTCAAATTACTTTGTAAACTCAAGTTGAAAGTAAGGTTAGAATGATGATGCATATATAAAAAATTACAAAATATTTGAAATAAAGTCACCAAAATACTTTGAAATTTATGTAAAATGGGCGAAATTCACCTGTAAATCTTGATTTTGTGCATGGCAGCAGGACACCGCTTAAATTATGTGTACGGGCATCTGACAGTCTTGTGGTGACATGACATGATAAAAATATTCAGCGAGAGTAGACCAAAATGCCAAAATGTTTATTTTTTAAATAACTTGCTTTACGGCTCTGGGTTCTAGCTCTTCTGAGCCTGAAGTTACAATGTATAATTATCTTTCATAGTACACTACTTCACAATATGTTGATGCGTCACATTGTGTAACCCTTGGGAGATTTTGACGGCAACTTGAAGCAGCAGACAGCTGACAGTTAGCGATGGTATCTCGAGGCGCCTAAGCAGACAGACACTTTATCTTGAGAATCACATCACCATCAGAGCACTTGTTCACCGTTTCCACCATAGACTTAGAATATACTGGCGTATAGACCAACATAGTGTGCAAGGGAGAAGAAAATTCCTTATGGCAAAAATGCAAGATAGAAAAGGATACCAAATCTCATGACTCTGTAATCGATTTTGAATGACAGATCGGCGCAATTCGGCCTGCAAGAAATAGCTCTTAGATATTTTGCAATTTTTTTAAGTGTAATAGTGGTTATGTTTAGTAAGTAACTTTTTTCCAAAATGCTTACTTGTTCAGTGAGTAATTGTGGTGTTAATAATAGAAATAATCCTGATAATTGCACATTTCACAGGTAAATTCTCAAGACGTCGTCAATGTTATGAAGCGTAAAATCACGTTGTTGATAATTTGCATGACTTTGATAAAGAGGTTTTGATGCTCGGATGGTGTGAGGTGTGTAAGTGTCGTTCTGTTTTTGGCTATTTCGTACTTCTGAGAGCTGTTGATTTACTTTTTTGTTTATTATTTCTGTTGGTGTTGGTTTTAGTAGTTATAAATCCGTAAGTATTTAGTAATTGTGTTGTTGTATATGTAATTAGTTAAAATAAAATGGAGGAAGATCCTCCCGATCCCGACGGGGTTTCATGTGACTCCCATACGGTTACCAAAAAAAATATGCCTATCGAGATTGATCAGTCGAATCGTAAAAGATCGCAAGCAGCCAATAACTCAGTTCATCCACAGAAAAGACTAATTACAGATCCATCTCAACCTGTACCATCTATTCAGACCTCTTATACCCATCCTGACTACATAGAACAAAAACATAAATACTCTAATAAGGACAGTGCGCCCTTTATTGTACATGTAAGCAAGATAGAAGATGATTTATCACCTGGAGTAGTTTTAAAACCGATAAAGTTTGGTCATTTTCTCTACCATAATAATATTAAAAATGTTGTTAGCGACGGTGTTAAGCGAGTAGGATGCAATAGAATTTCAGTCGAATTTAAAAGTGCAGCTGATGCAAATTGCTTTATTGAGAACCTAGCCCTTGCAGGTGCTAAATATGATACTGTAATCCCTTCTTATAATGTCACACGCATGGGAATAGTGAGGCAGGTCCCTGTAGAATGGACACTAGAGGAACTCATGTCATCAATCGAGGTCCCAGCTGAAAATCGGAAATCAGTTATAGAAAACCAAAGCATTGTGTGGATTCCCTCTCAAACAGTCCTTTTAACTTTTTCCGGCCAGAAACTTCCTTCTAACATCTATTACACCTCAATGCCTATTGAGCCCTACATTTTACCTCTTATTCAATGTCACAAATGTTGCCGTTTTGGACATGTTACCTCACAGTGTAGGTCATCTTCCCGTTGTTTTGTGTGTGCTCAAAATCATGAGGGTATATCATGCACAAGACAGTCTTCCACTTGCCTTTTTTGTTCAGGATCTCACCCAGCTAAAGATCCTTCCTGCCCTGAACACTCTAGGCAGAGATGTATCAAATTTACAATGTCATAGGAAAATATTTCCTATTTAGAAGCATCTGCCCGTTTCCCTCAAGTCCGTAGATCTTATGCAGATACTGCTAGAACCCTTCCTTCGTATGATCATCAGAGTCTCTATCCTATTTCAAATCCCCCTTTACCTTCAGTGGTCCCTTCACAATCTCATTCTTACAGGAAGACTACATTCACTCCTAGACTCCCGCCAAATCCAGCATCAAGTCGTGGATATGATAAATCTGCCCATGAGGCAATAATAGCTACTCCTTCTTCTTCATCTACTAATGGTTGTGCCTTAATAGGGCGGAGTATTTCCCCTAATGACAATCTCTGCGAATTAATGGTCTCCATGCTTATAAGTATGCTTTCCCGTTTTAGCGATATGGATCTCCCACTTGGCCTCCGCCAAAAACTTACTGAGTTCATTTCCTTAACAAATAACCTTCCCTCCAATACTTCAGTGCAACTGCCGGAGCATTAAAAATAAGAAAAATGAACTATATTATCTTATTAATAAATACCATCCCCTCATCCTAGCCATCCAGGAGACATGGCTAAAGCCTGGGTCCCATTTTAGGGTCTCAGGTTATTCATGCCTCAGGGATGATAGGAATGATGGTCATGCTGGCTCTTTCATTCTTATCTCAAAATCAATTACTTATACATCAATTTCCCTTCCTTCTCATAGTCCTTCAATTAATGCTGTAGCAGTTAAAGCTCATAACATTTCTTTTCTTTCTATTTACATTCCTGAACCTAGTCTAAATACCTTATCAGAACTTACGAGGATTATATCCTCCATCCCTCCTCCTATGGTAATTCTTGGTGATTTTAATACGCACCATACTTTATGGGGCTCCCATTTTTGTGATCCCTGGTCTTCTACAATTTTAGACATCATTGATGATTTAGATCTCTGCCTCCTTAACGATGGTTCACCTACACGTGGAGTATCCCCCCTTCAAAATCCTAAAAGTGCAGTAGATCTGTCACTCTATTCTCCTGCTCTGTCGTCCCTTCTTTCTTGCAAAATATTACCCATTTCCCATGGCAGTGATCATTTTCCTATCGTTATCAATCCTCCTAACTCCTATACAGACAATGTTCCATTTAAAACTAGGTTAAAATATAACACATCCACAGAAAACTGGCATCTGTATTCCACAGTTCTAGAGGAAGAACTTTTAGCCCTTCCTCTGGTTCAGAGAGAGAATGTTCTTCAGGTGTATTCTACTTTTAAAAATGCTATTTTATCTGCTGCCAATAAGACAATTCCCATCAAAAAACCTTATAAAAATAATGCTCCTTCACTGCCTTGGTGGGATCAAGATTGTTCTGTAGCATGTAAGAAGAGAAAGGAAGCTGAATTAAGATATTCCCACTTTATGATTTTCATAACTATATTTTCTATAAAAAAAAACTGCTGCTGAAACATTAAAATTACTATCTGAGAAGAAAAAGGCTGGATGGCTTAAATTCTGTGAGTTACTGTCGCCTAGGACCCATCCATCACTAGTCTGGAAAAATATAAAAAAATTCCGATGTTCAGTTTTGGCCTCAGAAAACACAACTTCTAATGATCAGTCTTATTGGCTAGAAAATTTTGCTAGTAAACTTGCTCCTCCTTCAGTACCATCTTACAATGAATGTATAGTATTTCAATCACAGTCCCTGCATCATCAACACAGTTTTGACTCCCCTTTCTCTTATGAGGAGTTATATGCCGTTCTTAATGTCCCTAAATATTCTTCACCAGGAATCGATGGAATCCCTTATTGTTTTATTACTAATAGCAGTGAATCTACCAAAGCCCATATTTTATCTGTTTTTAATTATATTTACATGTATTCCTCCTGAAGAATGGAAATCCCAAGTCTGATGACTTGGGATTACCTATTCACAAACCAGGTAAGCCTTACACTGATCCTGCAAGCTATTGCCGTATTGCTCTTTCTTGCACCATGGCAAAATTTTTGAACACCCAATAAAAAATCGTTTAGAATGGTTTCTTGAAAGCAAAAACCTTTTAGCAAAAAGCCAATTTGGATACCGAAAGGGCTTAAGCACCATGGATAGCCGTAGTACTCTAGTTACTGATATTCGTATAGCTTACTCTAAACATGAATACCTTGTCGGAGTCTTCCTAGACATCTCGTCTGCATATGACAATATACTTCTTCCTGTGCTCAGGCAAAAAATGCTTAATCTGAGTATTCCAGTGAGGATAGTAAATTTTGTCTCAAACTTTCTCTCTTCTAGATCCATTTATATTGATAGTCAAAATTCTCTACTCCCGCCAAGAATTGTATGGAAGGGTCTCCCACAAGGCTCAGTACTTAGTCCTTTATTCTATTCTATCTATACTTATGATTTAGAACTTTCTGTTAACTCCTTCTGTAACATCCTCCAATATGCAGACGATATAGCTATATATATTTCCCTAGATAACCTCCTTGCAGTCTGTTCCCGCTTGAATATATCAATGTCTTATTTACAGGATTGGTTAACTGATCATGGTTTGTCTTTATCTGTTCCCAAAAGCAGTGTTGTGATCTTCTCTCGCCATAGGCAAGTCCCTGAAATCAACATTCTCTATAATAATGAACCTATCCCAATTAGGGAGAATGTAAAATTTTTGGGAGTTATTCTTGACTCCAAACTAGCCTTTTCTCAGCATATCAACTATGTCTCAAAAAAATGTGAAAAAAAATATAAACATTCTTCGTGCTTTATCGGGTGTATGGTGGAGCTCCCACCCATTCTCCCAAAAAATTTTGTATAACGCCCTTATTCGTAGTCATTTGGATTATGGATGTTTTGTCTTGGAACCATGTAGTAAATCTTCCCTAAAGATCCTAGACAGGATTCAGTCCAAAAGCTTTCGAATAATCATCGGGGCAATGAAGTCTTCCCCAATAAACGCTCTCCAAGTTGAATGTGTGGACCCCCCTCTTTACCTAAGAAGACAATATCTTTCGGACCGATTCTTTTTTTAAATCTACCAACTCTTCCCACCCTCTCATTTCTAAATTACACCTTCTTCTGGAATATATTTCGTCAAAGCATTACTGGACTCATAAAGAATCTCCGTGCTTATCCAACAGTTTGGTAACATTACTCCATCTACCACACCCAGTATCACAATGCAAGTCCTGTCCCATATTTGATATCCCATATGATGCAATTATTTTCCAACCAAATATCCACCTCGACCTTGGTAGTGAG